TTAAATCTGAAGTTATTTGTTACATGGATGCTTAGTTCCATAGCGCTCTGCTATTTTCAGAGAAGGAGTTTTGTGTAATTTTAACCAAGAAGCAGAAAATATTCTAGCAGCTGTTCTTATGTTCAGACCCAACTCCATATATTCTGTAGGAATATAATGCTTGGTAAGAGCAGCTGGCGAGCAATAAAAGTCTATATCTAAAAATTGCTTCATTTTATGGTGAATCATCTTCCAAACTGTTGAGTTACTTAGTTGCCACAAAGTATTAAAAAAATGGTCCAACCTGGTTATTGCATTTCTGGTAGTCTGGTAGTGTTAAAATTTGAATTGTCTATTAGAGCAACAAAGTCTGGGATATTGCATCAATGAAAAAGCATCTTGTACCAATTTTCTCCAAATGTGATATCTGCAGGAAATTTAATATTTATTTTCCATTTATATTCCCATTGCTGCGTATCATTTGGCATGTACATTCTGCATTCATTTCATCAAAGAATCTTTAGTTTGTTTATTTTCTATATCATATTTCAATATGTTAGGCCTCAGCTGGTGTTATAATCTGCATTACGGGCTTCATTGGTCATCTATCTTATTTTTGTAATGCCTTTGAACTATAAAACCTATTTAAAAATGGTGAAACCAATGGCATTTTGGGAAAGTGTCTCAAAAGAATTCATATTGGCTTCTGGGTTAAATCTTGTGTTCTATACAAATTATTACAAATATGAATGTACATTCATTTTCATAAAAAATAAATGTTTGATATTGAAGCAAGGAGCAGTAAATCTGGACTTACTCTTCTATATTTATCCAATATTTTTATGACACTATTTTTAACCAAGCAATTCCTGACAGCCTGGACAGAGGTTTGTATTTGACCAAAGAATGCAAGCCTTCTGGAAGTCCTGCTCCTTCCACAGAGGTGGCCCAGTTATAAAATGATATAATCCCATTTGTAATCCATTTCAAACAACTGGTTTGTTAATATAATCTAAGATGTGATAAACCAAGTACTTTCTTACAAAGATTTTGATTTTAAAAGCAGAGGAAAAAAGAGATGGATTTTCTAGCAAAGGCATTCCTGGTGACACAGTTGAATGGACATAAGTTGTGTAAAAACTGCATTTTGGCTTGGTGGCTGACAATACATTTGGTCTAGAGTGACTTTCAGTTTCTTTATCACAGTACTTTACTGGGTAGACAACAATTCAGAATGATCTTTTTTACTGTTCTCACTCCTACAAAGTTCTAAAATATGAGCGTGGTGGTGAAGTGAATTTGCAGATTTTTTCTCCATGTTAATATTTTAAAATGTGCCTGATGGTGCCATCTATCCAGGCCATCTTTCCGAATCGAAAGTTTCAGTCATCCAGACATTTCATGAATCCTTTTCTACTAATGTATTTAAGGATAGTCTAATTTATCTTATCCTTGCAGAAATTTTGAACACTATTTATAATCAGATAATTATACAATTAATCTGGAGTTTTCTTTGTTAAGTAAACAAAGATCAAGGCTATGTTTCACCACCACCACCACATAGGCAAGATATTGAAAAAGATCTGCATTTTTCCCCTAAAATGTCAAAGCATTCTATTCCAGGGAACTGCTTCTTCTGCAAAATGCTTCCTCCTTTAAATAACTATCAGGTTAATATTTGTCTCCAACATTATACAAACAAATTCCATTTCTTCTGCTGAGCCCAACGTATGCATTAGAGATTATTCATATTTCTACCTATCAAATTAATACGCCACGGGTCAGTATTATAATCTACTTACTGAATGAGATATTAGGAAATTCAACAGGATAATGAATTTGACAGATGCATTTTCTTTTCTGATGTAGCAGCATATGCAATACTTACTTTTATATCTTCTGGCAAGCATCTATCAATTCGCTTTTCTTTCAATTTTTTTAAAATTAGTTCAACAGTGATTTCTTTTGTAGGCTTCTTCTCTTTCTGAGGAACACGCAGATCATCTTCATTGTCTTCATCTTCATGGTCCAGAGATGAACCAAAACTTTTTGGAAGAGTGTTGCTTCGTGGACGTGCCTGAGGTATCAATTCATCTGAGCTTTTGTGCTTTGCATCTACATTGAATTTAAAAAAAAATGAAACACAAGCCCATAGAACGTAGCTCAGTCACTTTGAAACTGTTACTTTTAATCTGCCTAATAAAAACAGAAATGAGGAATTTAAACACTAAACCACCTGGACCCAATGGGTCATCATTCAAGAGCCATGGTGGCACAGTGGTTATGACTGAGCCTTCCATCCTTCCGAGGTCGGTAAAATGAAAAGCCAGATTGTTGGGGACAATATGCTGTCTCTGTAAATTGCTTAGAAAGGGCTGTAAAGCACCGTGAAGCGGTATATAAATCTAACTGCTATCGTTATTTCAGAGGTATTTCCTTATCTAAACAGATAAACAGAATGACCAAGGCAAAAAGGCAGGGGAATTGAGATTAACTTGCAACCAACTTGACTCCAGAGGGCTAAAACAGGACTGATTTACCTGATCTCCAGCAGCTGAAGGAAAGGCTAATCTGAAGGGCTAGGGGGATTGGCCTGCTTGAACCCTGGATGGCAATGCAGCAGCACTCAACTGGCCATAATTTTGCCAAATTTCAATCTCACAAAAGTAATGGATCCAGATTTTGGATGCATTCTGTAAGTTAGTCTATTTGTGGCACCTCAGTTCAAAACATCCAGTTTAAGGTTTAGGATGAGAATATTAGTGGCATATAGATACTTAACATTGTTTTAGAAAGTGGAATGAAATAATAATCAAATGCTTTCTTAATGAAAATTATCAATAATTAATAAGCATGAGCGTAAGAGATTTCTATGAAAAACCTACCTTTTATTTGCTTTTTTAATTTGGTAAGCTCTGTCATCCATTTTAAAACCTTTGGATTTGCTGCAATATCAGAATACGAAGGCTGCAAAGAAAGTATTTTTTAAAAAAATATATAAAATACCAAAAGAGCAAAGAAATTGGAATTTTAAAACGGGGACAAGGAATAATAAAAACAAAATTCGAGAATGCAAGCTATAACAAAAGGTATAGAAAAAAAAATAAACTCCTGACTTTCTTTGATACAGATCAAAACCTGTAAATCAATAATCCATAACAATACTTCTATTGTCATATCTAATCATTAAAATATGACTAATCATCAACCCTGCACAAGGGTTAATACCTGTTTTGCTCCTGTTTACCATCTACATAAAACTGTATGGGGAAATCATCCATCACCATGGAGTGAGATATCATCAGTATGCTGATGATAGTGAGCTGTACATCTCTGCCCATGGTGAATTAAGCAATGCTGCGACCACTCTCTCGGTGCCTGAAGGTTATTGAGGTCTGAATGGGAACCACAGGCTAAAACTGAACTCTAGCAAAACAGAGTGGCTCTGGGTTGGGGACGCTTCAGCTCTTGGAGAAATACCATCTTTTTGGTTCTGGAGGCGTTGCACTGCTTCAGATTGACCCAGTGCATAATATAGTGGTTCTCCAGCGCAAGGAACAAATGGCAGTTGGGGCCAGAAAGGCATAATTATGAGTTGTGCACCAATTACACCTGTTCCTGGACCAATGTGTCCTTCTTACAGTCACCCACATACTGTAACCTCCCCTCTGGATTATTGTAATGAAGCTACCCTTAAAAAAAAATATGGAAGTTTAATGTATGCTACTTAGTAACAGATAAATATGTTTATATTATTTTTACTGTATAAAGTGATTTACGTATATATTTGTTATCTGAAATGCAGCTGAATCCTAATTTATCATCATCACCACAATCCTAAATCAGTCAACTATCACATGAAAGCCTCTTCTTTGAAGGTTATGGATAGTAATGTACCATACATTGATCCAATGTAGGTTGGTAGAGGGATGATTTTGAACTTTCCAATCTAGGGATGAGAGGGAATGACTATCCCAAAGTCACTCAGACAGCTTCTATGCCTAAGGGAAGACTATAAACTAGGTACCCTCTCCTAGTACAGCACCTTAACACACACTGGTTTCTCCAGGTAATAAATATTCCTAAAGGAATAAGAAGCTTCATTTCCATTATATAGCTTCCTGAGAAAAATTCAAAATTATGGTTTTCCTTATTGATTTATTTTCAATTGATATTTTCAATTCTACTTTAGTGCTAAGAAAAAAATTAGCAAACAGAAAAAATAAACACAGCAATTCAATGGTATTCTATAAAGGAAAGCAGAAGAACTACCTTTTATCCTATTTTTGTTCAATGAACACACATGTGTGTTAGTGTAACAATTGAGAAAAGAAAATTAATTAGAAAAGAAGAAAGAATGGAATGATGAAAAAAATCAATGCAAGTTCATTTTTGTAAAGTAAGAGCAAATATATATTATCCTAAAAGCAGCACTGTAAAATATTAAAATAACTTACCTTTACGTTTTTCTCTTTCTCAAATTGCTCCTCAAAATGTCTTATTTTTTTCTGCAACTTTTTGACTAGCTGATATGGAGTCTTTTCTTCTTTTCTATCATCCTTAGAACTACTAAATGCTGCTCTTCGAGTTCTGAATTTAAAAGAAGAGATATTATAGGTACTATATATACATATGTGTACACATATATGCATGTTCAGTTAAAAGAGGAAACAGGTATACAGTTATATTTCCATTATAAAATCCATGGAACAGAGACAACAAAATTATTTTTTTACTTTTACAATATTGTCACCAATATTTACTATATAAATTACTACTTTATTTCCTGCTTTTTATTATTTTTATAAATAACTCAAGGCGCAGAACGCATCTAATACTCCTTCCTCCTATTTTCTTCGGAACAACTCTGTTGTCCTGAGTTGGGTTGTGCTGGGCTGGGCTGAAAGAGTGATTGGTTCAATGTCACCCAGCCAGCATTCATGCCTAAAACATGACTAGAATCAGAGTTTCCTGTTTTCTAGCCTAGTACATTAACTACTAGATCAAACTGGCTGCTGAAAAGGTAACATGGTTAAGTTTTTAAAAAAGCTGTTAATCAATACACTCAGAGGTGGGTTGCTGCCAGTTTGGCCCAGATCGGCTGAACGGGTAGTAGCGGTGGCAGGAGGCTCCGTCCACCTGCCCAGATGCTTCTGTGCATGCACAGAAGCGTTGCGCGTGCCCGAATTGGTAGTAAAGAAATTGGCAACCCACCTCTGAATATACTGATTGGAAACCCCCTTTTTCTTGCTAAGACTTAACCATGTTAC